ACACAGAGAGAGAGAGAGAGAGAGACACACAGAGAGAGAGAGACACAGAGAGAGAGAGACACAGAGAGAGAGAGACACAGAGACACAGAGAGAGAGATAACACTCACCAGTGTAATGTCAACGAGCTCAATCAGCCTTCCACTGGGAACAAAAGCGTTGGCCAAGTCTCTGATGGCCTGAATCACGTTGACCAGCTTCAAAGAAAAAGATCAGGAGTCAAATAAATAAAACAGGCGATATTTCTGTGAGGCTAGTTTAAAGTACTTCTTCGTTCTTACATCAGTTTTTTTGTCAGTAATTAGAGCCGTCCATCTCTCGCTGGGCGGGGAGTCCAGGTCCACTGTGTACCAACGGACCGCTCCTCTGAACCTGATTATGATAACATCAGAGTCAAAACGTCACCGACTAGGGGTGCATTTTTATTTATGCATTTTGAATTAACTGCTGATGCCATTCTGGCTAATTCTGTCTCAAGTAAATCACAGTTTAATCCAATTACTCCAGAAAACTACAGCAGCCCACAAAACAGGAAAACAACATATTACCAAGCGAAGGTTATCAGCTAACTCGTTAAAATGACTTTTACACACGTATGTCACTCACGTGGGGCCGTTAAAATGACTTTTACACACGTATGTCACTCACGTGGGGCCCGTCGGTGGATACATGTCTGCACGACAGTCTTCTGTATACTGTAAATAAATAGACATGAAATGTTTGTGTGTGACTTCAGAGAAACACAGATCAACGCAGCTTTTTTCAAAACGAACATGTTAAACAGCATAATGTTTACGCAGCAATGTCGCTTACCGGTGGGATGAACTGTGTCGTTGTAGCGGAAAATAAAGCCGCTACAATTATTAAAACACAGAGAGACATTTTTGGAGGATTTCACTCAAACTGTTGCTCGTCCAAGAGGCTGCTGCTGTTTACCGCGTGACAGGGAAATTTGACTGATATGTGAAGGGAAACCGGAAGTTCTGTAGCGGCATACAATGCTTTTGTACAAATAAATATCAATAAGTGATTACACACATGAAGGATTATTCACATACGTTTTCAAAGAAATTAAATATAAAAAAAATCCGTTCCTTTTATTTGCCATAAAAGCAAGAACCTCCGACAAAATAGTGAGGTAGTGATACAAAAACACCCCTCGAAAGAGATCCCCAGTGGTAGTGTCCATGCGGAAGTGAAAATACATAACATGACCAACTGCGATGGTAAGAATCACAATAATATAATCTATAAAGAAAGAAGACATATGACAATTGTTGTAAACTAATCACATAAATCATTGTGTGGAATCTGTGTGGTCAGCGAGATACACTGTGTGTACTCACATAAACATACAAACCAGTGTTGGAAAGTAACTAAGTACATTTACTGAGGGGCTGTAACGTTACTTAAGTACAATTTTATGGGACTTTGCTTATTTCCATGTATGCTTCTTCAGACTACTCCACTGTATTTCAGAGAAAAGCATTGTACTTTTTACTCCACTACATTTATTTGACAGAATTAGTTACTAGTTACTTTTTTCAGATGATTTTTCATAAAACATAATCAAATTAAATACAATACCTTGTAACATATCAAACTAGTCATTCCCGAATTTTTGGGCTTGTGAGCCTTTATAAAAAATGAGACCCCAAAAGATACTTCAGACCTGTTTCATAGAGATAAACAAACATGTTTCACTTGGAATCATATTAATACCACTTATTTACTTTATACAGAGGGTCATTTTATTATAAATGGAATGGACTTCACTTGACAGCATTCATACTTAAAAAAGCCATCAGGAAATGAACAGTAGCAAGACTGGCACAGTCCTAATAAATCCAGACATTTAAATGTACTAGTCTAAAGCTGACTTTCAGTAAGTGCTTCAGCTTAAAAAAATGAACTTATTTATTGCTGTGCGTCACAATCACATCAGAGTTGCTATTTCATAAGTCGGTGGGAGTAATGGACACAATATAATCATTTTATTTCCACAAATGGTCCCCATCTGTAGGTTTGCACTTTTTAATGAAACAGCAGTTTTAGGATTCATATCAAATTATTTCGCAGACCCCCTGACAGAATCACTGGTTTAGTTCCTCTAATTGTTCCGAGCCCTCCCTTCCACTGGGGGGGGGGGTCTGTGCCCTGTTTGCCGTCTCTTTTCTGTCTTTCAGGATGTTGATCGTCAGCTAATGAGCCACACCCGAGGCTGCTGTGGTTCCAGCTTTAAAGTCTCTCCACCTGAACATTGACGGTCTCTTCCTTGGCTGCTGTATAGTTTAGTTTGTTTCAGACATTTCCACACATGCTGACATTACTGATTACAGACACTCCGTGTTTGTTTTGTATTGTTATCCTTTAAATAAATGTGTTTATTATTTTTACACTTGTCTGGTCTCACATTTATGTGGCAGCCTTTGAGTCGGGTTGTAACATAATAATATCCCCTTTAAACTTTTCAGATGGTTTGATTCAAAAAAACGTTTTATGCCCAAATAACCTCATATTTTACAAGTCTTAGAAAATACACATTTTTAACCTTTTTTCATCTTTCGTACACGTAATCATTCCACAACCCCTCAGATGCATCTTGTGACCCTTTGGAGGAAGCCTGACCACCAGGTTATGAACCACAAGCAAACTGTATATTAAGTATACAGTATTAACAATCTAATGTCATATATGATGAATCAACCACACGGCATTAGTCGGCAGATTGAGTACTTTGTTTTGCTGTTAATAATTCTGTACTTATTTTACAGTGTTGTATCAATGTTTTTACTTAAAGGGTTAGTGTACCTCTTCCATGAGACACAGCAAAGTAAATGTATGGTTAACTAACATAGGCCGATGGGTCATCTGAATACTATAAATGTCACCATTAAGATTCATTCAACTGGCTGCTAAAAATACACGGAGACCATAGAGCAGATTTGACCATGTCATTTTATTAAAAATATTAAAAACAAAACAGAAATCAGATCAAATGGCCAAATCTTTAAAATCAAGACATTTACAAAGACATGGCAGTAACCTACACAGTTGAGTCTTCACTTGCAGTACCGGTCTGCTTTCATTTTGCTTCTCCTGTAATAAAAAGAAAAAAACATTCACTCAGTGCAACAACATGTCAGTGCAATCAATTTATATTCTGTTATTAATTCAATGTCTATTTATAGAAAGATGTTTTACTGTTCTGATAAACAACTGATAATTGGGTTTTTATACCGTCCATGCAGCTTTGTTTAGTGCTTGTTGACACAGAGTGTGAAATATGTTAACCTGCATGAATTCTCACATCTCCTACTTCTTATTACTGTGAGGTTGATGATGTGAATAGATTTCTCAATCTGTTATAATGACAGCAGGGAGGCCACCTCAATTACCTGCCACATGTTCAACTAACACATCTAATGCTGCAAATAAAAACACAAAAGAAATGGAGGCTGGTCTGGGTCTACACAAATATATCAATGTAGGAAGGTGTTTAAAGGTAAACAATTACAATAGCAGACACATTATTTAGAAATGTATTATAAGGAGCTTTGCAATTTGTTTGTATTTATTAATTCAGAAATTAAACCTAAATGCCAGCCTCTGATTGGCCTTGTATATCACTGTGTACTGGAGTACTTTGATGGATTTTATATAAATAAAAAATGTAATGCTGTGAATTTGCAGCTTGATTTTATACCTTCATGTAAACATTTCCTTGAAGGAACAATTAAGGAAGAGTGATAAGACAAAGTGAATTAGGTGTTTGAGAATAAATAACTAATATTTCCGCACCTGTCGAGCAACTCTTCGTGAAACTTCCCGTCTGTTCTGGCTCTCTTCAGCGTGGATGAGTCTCCCTCATTGACCCGGAGCCGCCGATCTTGAAAACTCTGAAACTTCTTCCTGTAATTCACACAGCAGCATTAATAAGACTATTACCAAAGGAAGTGCAAAGGCAAATGACACACCACCCCGATCCACACATACATAAAAACACATTTCCACAATTGATCCTCTTTGGAGAACTGGCACTGAGGCTCTAAGAAGCTAAATCTCTGAGAAGAACTCCAAACATTAAGGCCAAGTATTAACTAAAGCAGAATATCTAAATGGTGACAGTGGCAGCTAAATAGCAATTAAGCTGAATGTCTAAGCTAACAAGCTGCCACAAACCAACACAGACTGTATTATTATTTAAATATTCAGCTATGGCTGGAAGTGGAATTTGTTAATGACAGTGTAAATCAAAATTTAGGCTTAAATGTTTTGAGTTCTGCAGGAATGAGACCTAAAACCGAGAAATTATTACTTTTTTTGCCAATTTAATTTCAATCTTAATGGGTTTTTCAAATGTTTTTTTGGTTAGATGCCTCAAAAAAAAAAATAATTCCACTTATTAATTTTAAAGCCTTTAGTCGTCTTAAAAAAGGTGGTCGCTAACAAGTGGCTAAATGAGGCCGCTATCTATCATGGCAAACATTATTCTGCCTTTTGAAGTATAAAAGTGTTATTTTTGAGATTACCTTGCTGAACAAAACTTGTAACTTGTGTTTGCCAAAGAGCTTCATTTCTGCAATACTCCAAAATCCAATAGAAAAATGCCATTTTATTTTGATCGATGGCACCAGTGCGACGCTAACTTCCGTTAGCTTGGCCCACAAAAACACGTCGTCCCTGCAGCACATGTATCTAAATAAGCTCTGCCATAAACATTTAGCAAGGTACCACTGCATCGTGTGATAGGCTGTGAGCACTTTATCCTCCTGTCAGTGTGAACCTTCATGAACATTTCCCCTTTAATATGTGCAAAGGACATCCTAAAATATTTAAATATAAAATAAAAAGTTATTCTAAAGTAGGCAATCTTAACAATGTGTTCCAGTATGCATCTAGCCAGAAACTTCTTTGATATTTAGTCTCTCTTTGCTCTGCTTGTGTTTTATGATCCCCAAGCTGCACTCCATCCTAAAAGGCATTTTAGACGCTAAACACTACATCAAGACACAGGCTCAAGGGCAGCCATTATCAACATGTCAACATGATGAGTCCATTTCCCCAGCATTCATCTGAAACAAATAATAGAGCCGGAACACCAGCCAAAGCATGCCAAGCAAGAAAACTGTTTCAGACATATTGCCTTGAACTTAATAAGCTGCAGACGGGCCGTATATACTGTATATGAAACACTTGCAGCATCCGAAGCTGATATGTGGTGTTGCTCGCGCTCTCTTCCCGCTCTAACAGCAGACCATCAATTGCATCTTTAAAGGCGGAGGACTGATGAGGGAGTAGCTCAAAGGCCTCATCTCACATCCGGTGATTTTGTTGTCAAAATGTTGTGGGTGCAGACTGACACGGTGTGGAGATAATGGGGAAGGAAATCACCCTAAATTCTCCTCAGTCGAAATAAAGTGCTTCAGCACTCATTTCAGAGGAGGCTGAAAGGTAAACTACTTAAACTACAAAACGTCAAGCTGCTGTGAAATAAAACTGTAGTTATTGATACAATGTGACAACAGCTTAAAGACAAATACCACTTAAAAAAAGTCACTTCCTGGAGCCACTTTCAAGGAAAGCAAGAGACACAGTTTATGCTAAACTGACAATAAATTCATTCGATATATACTTTTCAAACAATTAACTAAAAATAATTTGTAATGTAAATGGATTTTTTCTGAGGCATTTTAGTAAACCAATTATCATCAACTGACCAAAACTAATTATGGGGGTCATGTGACTTTATTTATTAGTATATCTATTTATTTATTTATTTATTATGGTTTGTATGTGTGATTGTTTGTATTATTTGTATGTATTCAACACTGTCAGTGATAGCATTACTGTGTATACATGTTGACTGGTGAGCATCTAGGACACACGTTTCTCATCATATGAAAATACTCTGGTGGCATTTTTTGATGGTTTTCTATCCAGGTAATCAACCCACAACCCTCAGATCTGTGTTTTCCCTCGGTGGACGTGTATTTAACACGCATGTAAACAAACTATAAAACAGCGGCTGCCTCCCCTCACTGCCCTAATTTGAAAGCACTTGGGTGAAAGAACTCCTGATTGGCTCTTAAATTTCACATTAAATGCAGCACAAAAGGGGAAACTGAACCTGGTGGAAAATGGTCAAACAGTAAATTAAAAGTTATATGCAGAGAGATGCCCTCATTTGCTATTGATTGGGCTTGCTTGTGCACACATAAAAAGGGAAGTTACTTACACATAATTGACCTCACAAGACTTCACGTTGCCCCTGTCTGCCTCTATGATGTCATCTTTACGCTTGATCTCTTGTTCCGCACTGGATCTGATCTGCAGAAAAAAAAAAAAAAAAAAAGAGAGAAAGAGGGAGAAGCTTAGCATTAAATATCAATGCCGTGTACCCCCTGAAGTGAGGTCACAAACATTTTCCCCCTTCCATCTCAACAGTCGGGACCCCACAGAGACGGCACGCTTAAAGCAAAAAGGATTAACATGCAACCTTGTGGAAGGAACCCAATTTACACATCACCTTCACCATCTCGCCATCCCCTGCCGTCTTGGTCTTGGCCTCGATGTCCCCAGTCTCACTGTAGGAGATGAAACAACTATTTGCTGCCATGAGAGCCATTTTGCCCTGAGGCAGAACAGGAAGAAGACAAGAGAGGAGAAGGCGGTTGATTAGATAGATTTGCAGCAGGACTGGTTGTCGTGAGAGACATGAAAAGGTCACCTGATATTTGATGTAAAAGAGTCTCAAGGTTGTGCCGGGCAGCTTGTTTATAGGTTCACCAAAGCATCGAGGCGAGCAGTGCGCTACAGCGATAAGGTAGACGCGTTCTGCATAATGAATTGGTTGTTTTTACAGTTACTACAGCTGAGTGCTCTCTCTCTCTCTCTCTCTCGTGGGCTTCACTCTAAATCAGCCACGAGGCGAGACGTGAAAGGCAGAGGACAGCGGTACAGTACGCCACTGCTGCAAAGACTGTATTCATTTCAGTCACTAACTGTTGTTCATATGTGCATCAATAGAAAAAATTTCAATAACAATATTTATTCTAGCATTCATGCAGTCTTGCACGATTTGTACCTACGGCTGAAACGAGTGACTATTTTCATCATCGATCAATCTGCAAATTATTTTCTCATTTCACGTTTGTGAAAAATGTCCGTCTCTATATTCAAATAACCCAAGTTAACATATTAAGATGTTTGTTTGTTTTGTTTTATTCAACCAACTGTCCAAACCGCCAATTATTCAGTTTATTATCATATATGACCAACAAATGCATTAAATGGTCACAAAAGAAACTGGAACCAGAGAAATGTTTGCATTGTTTGCTTGAAAAATGACAATAGTAGTAAATTGTTGCTGATCACTTTTCTGTTAATCAACTCATGTATTCATCAATGAATCGTTTCAGCCCTACTTGTATTAAAGAGAAGATGGCCTCACATTATGGCCCAATGACTTTGTTGTTGTTTAACTGAAGTTCCCCCCCCCCATTGGAGACATGCCAAGACATGCCAAAGACTATAGACGCTGTAGAAGATCCACTCACATTCTCGAAGACTGTTTCCCATTGTTCCCTGGAGCCAATGGCGTCAGAGCGGCCTACGACCAAACCCTCAGAGTTGATACCCAGGTACTTGCCATATCCAGACTTCAAGGCTATCCTGCAACAACGTGATGGAATTCTACGGTGACAGTACACTGACACGGGCCTTTTCAATGCCTCAAAACAACAGAACAGGCTAATCTGATGTTTATTTAAAAAAAAAAAACTGAGTTATTTCCCTGGCTTTACAGAGTATTTAGGTTTAGTAATATTAGTTTAGAGTTAATCTAAGACTCGCAGCTAAAGAAATGGCTCCAGAATAGGTCACACCTCCACAAGGACAGGTTAAAATTACTCTTCTCTAAAAGAATCCTTGCAGAAGCGAAGTACTAAATCTGTTGGCGAAGGATTATCTGTGGATGCTAATTCCATCAGCAGTTTGTCTTTGTTTACCCACCTTGTGTCTGAGAGCTTGACGGCAGTAAACTGTTCTGTGGGGTCGGGTCCTTCATCCTCTGAAACACATAAAAAACATTTACCTTTTAAAGATTTTACGGTTCTTAGTATTGCTTTTTAAATGGCTCTATGTTGCTCTATATACAGAATTTTTTGATTATTTTAGATTTGTGAATAATAGGGCCTCTCTCTACCTGTTAAAAAAAAAAAAAGGTATATATATATATTTTGGGCACTGATCTTTTAGGTTAGACAGAAAAAGCTTCTGCCACACAAAAACAATCATTTAGTGTTTAATTAATTACGGTGTAAAAATGATGTTCCATTATTAAAATGTGCATAATTCTTTTCTCGTGGTAAGTTTATACTTGAGAGCTGCTTCATGTTTAAGTAATGCGTTCCTTGTAATTAATAATGCAAACCCTCCGGCTACTCAGCGCTGTGCTCATCTGGATCCGTTGCAGCAGCACGGAGGCATTTGAAATAAGACACGAAAGGAACTGTTGCGTTGCATTTCAATTCTCTATTCTGTGCCGAGGTCTACCGAGTTCTCCCGTGATTTCATTAAGTGACCTGCTTGCGATTAGGTCGCTTCCTGTCCTTTGCAATAAATCAAAGTTTCGCACAATTTCTAGTGCATCAAACAGGCGAGGTCAAGGGAGCGCAGAGCCTGCGAGACATTAACGAGGAACGCATTAATAAAGTAGAGGGAAAATGTGACACACCCTGCTTCTTCAAAAGGCGGATTATCTTTGGAATATGTCAGATGGTGACCCTCGGAGTTGGCTAAGAGAACATCAGCATGTTTCCTCTGACCTGAGGGTGAATGTGAACACTTTTTTGGCAGTCTTCTAAAACGCTGCATCATCCAGACAGTGGCGGCTCTGCAGAAAAATCCAGCGAAGAGGGGAAAATCTCTAACGTCTCTTTCAATACTGCTAGCTCGCATCCACTTTCATCTCCTGGAAATGAGCTTATGTGCATGCAGAGGATGAGGAGGAACCACTAAGGGATTTGGGATGTTTCAATCTAGCAGCCATTTTTTCACTGGTTCTCACAAAACGTGGGCTGACTTTTTTGTTAGTCGTGTCTCTTTCAGAGCAACACTCGAAAACTCAGAGTTAGCTCTGTCCTTACCCTTAACTCAACCCCCGTTCAGCCGTATGGAGTCTGGTGTCTGGATTTACTACTTAAATACTTAGGCTACTGCTTTGTGGACTGAAGGCAAACCCCCCCCTGTCATCCCCACAACGCCTGGCGCCTACAGTAAATGTAAACTCAAAATTGAGTTTTAAGTTCTTCAAGTTTGTACAACTGTGGTCTAAGCAAGCAGATGTAGAATTTGCATCTTCATCTAAATTGCAGACAAAATGAAATGCATAACGGCTTACATTCCACATGGTGCTATTCTTGCATTGTAATCCTGCTTTGCTATTTCTCCCAGGTAAAGTCCCACTCACGTCTTCTGTGCTACATATATAGATTCATCATCCTGGGTAAGGCTGGCTGATATGGATCTATTCATGCGTTTGACGTAGCTAATGGTAATGGAGGTTGCATTGGGTTAACTTGTGATGCATTCAAGCTCTATTCTGTAAAAATGAGTATTGGGTGAAGGTAAATCATGTTTACATGATCATAATGTAATTGTGAAAAAGAATGTAAAATGTAGTTGTTGGCAAGAAAATCCTCACTTTTGAGAAGCTGGGAGCAGCAAATGTTTGGTACTTTTACTGAGAAATGATCAAAACAATTAATGGACTATCAAAATAGTTGCCCTTTAATTTGGTCTTGATCGACTTATCAACGGTAACATGATCATATCATCGGTGTACAATTCAACTTGAAACACAATAATATTGAATAATTGAGCAGCCATACACCTGGGCATTTTACAGCATTATTCCATCTTCCACATCATAATATTATTAAATAAACACTTAAAAATGTGTCCTACTCAGGCTCAGAAAATGACCCGGGTTAAGAGCAAAAAAGCACTAAAATCTGAACGGGTCAGTGGGACAATTGTTCCCTATGGATGGCTATCAATGAGTCTCTAGCAAATATTTAGATTGACCAGAAGCTTTATAAATTGTTGCCATCTTACAGCCAGCAACAGCAGAAAATAACTCACCAAAACTTTAAATCTTGAATAGAAATATTAGTATAAACTAGATCAAAATGAGTAAAACCCACGAGAGCAGCGTGAAAGGCTAGACTCTCCACTGCGTCTTCTCACCTTTGTGTGGTGCACCGAGTGTGAATAGGCCACTATCCAGAGCATGGATGTAAGCGCTGTTCTGCATCTCGATGGCAATTGTTCCAGATATTTCCCCAAAGTTGCTGATGGCCCACCAACCACCTGCAGGGCAGAAAGACCCAAATGTCACAAGATGCAACAATACATGGCAACACAGCAACCGTAAGGTGCAGCATCCAATCAGTACAATTGTTGCACTTTAGTAAAAAAAAAAAAAAAAAAAATCATATCAGGAAAAACAAATGGAAAGAAAAACAGGTTCTCAAGAGTCTTTGGTTTGTTTTTACAATTCAAAAACACAGTACATAAACATACCAATAACATCAGCTTTTTCTTCACCATCTCCTGCTTTTTTCTTCTTATCTTTATGCTTCCTCTTTTTCCTGTGAACAAATAGAATAAAACATGTCTTCATTAGTGTTCAGCTTGCTAAATGTTGAATTACACAATTAGGCCTTGCAAGCATTTCCATAACATTAAAGTTGTTGGGCTGGCATATTTATTTGTCGAAAGTGAACACATTTAGATAATGCACAAAGACTCTTAAAGTCAATAACAAATCATTGAGTCATCGTTGCTTTAAAAAAAAAAAAAGAGAAAAGAATTATGGTTCTAGGACATGAGCTGAATTAAAAGAGTAACTTAACACCACTGCTCTGTCTTATTTCAAGAGTTGCAAAAAAAAAGGTAATAAAAATACCACCCAACAATAAAGTAAATTACGCCTAACTTTATGTATGTATTGTTAATTATAACCTGTGAATATGAAACCCAGAAATGCCTCAAAATAAAAAAAGAGTTCAAGGGGAGTTTTGGGGTTTTCTGTTTGTGTCCTCTCATCCCATATTGTTGTTTTTAAAAATTTAAATTGATTAAGCCTTCTGCAATCTAGAGACTGAGTTTTCTTTGTTTGTTTTCCTCTCAACAGTTTCTGTGATTTATAATCTAATACGTCGACTACGTTTTCTACATGTACTTCATCAAAAGTAGGTAAGCCTGTTGCTCAGGCTTACATATATATATATACACATATACACATATATACATATACACACATATACACATATATACATATACATATACATATACATATATACACACATATACATATACATATACATATATACACACATATACATATACATATACATATATACACACATATACATATATATATACATATATATATGTATATACATATACATATACATACACATACATATACATACACATACATACATATACATACACATACATATATATATATATATATATATATAACATTTCAGGCTAGTATGGTTAGTATCATCATGCACCTCAATGGCTTAACCTGAGGATATCTAACGATTCTGCTGACGTTTAAACTGCTTTTGGACAAATTAAAGTTAGCTTGCTCATGGTTGATCCACAGTTGATGTTTAGCTAACGTTAACTAGCATTAGTTAAACAAGACGATAATGTGTTTGCTAAGAACAGCCTTTGCCTCCATGCTGATAGTTAAACGTTTAAGAGCGGCTTTTAGAGAAATAAACAGTAGCTTTACAGGTGTTTCACGAAGCTAACGCTAATGTTTTAGCTACAGCTAGCTTTAGCATAGGCTACAAAACCTCCGTAAATTAGTCGTAGATTGAACTGAAGATTGTAACGTTAGTGATCAGTGGTACTAAGTAAAATAAACACTTACCCTTTGTTAAGACCTTTCAAAACCAGTTTGGTTGATTTTACGTGAGAATAGTCAGCCATAGCTCGACCTAGCTAGTGGTTAGCACAGCTACTAGACGATACTTTCAGGCACAAGTACGGCGGCCGCGGAGGCACATTCAAAGTCTGATCCAAATGTCCACTCAGCCATCAGTCTATGCATCCAACAACGTTTCCAACACTAATATACAATATATATACATATATATATATATACATATATATATACATATATATATGTATATATATATATATATATACACATATACATATATACATATACACATATACATATATACATATATATATACATATACACATATACATATATATATACATATACACATACACATATACATATATATATACATATACACATATACATATATATATATATATATACATATATATACACATATACATATATATACACATACATACATATACATACACATACATATACATACACATACATATATATACACATACATATAGATATTTCAGTTTTTCTTTTTTAATAAATTTGCAACAATTTCTACATTTCTGTTTTTTTCTGTCAAGATGGGGTGCTGAGTGTACATTAATGAGAAATAAAATGAACTTTTTTGATTTTAGCAAATGGCTGCAATGAAACAAAGAGTGAAAAATTTAAAGGGGTCTGAATACTTTCCGTACCCACTGTACACACACACACACACACACACACACACACACACACACACACACACACACACACACACACACATACATACATATATATATATACACCCATATAATGTAGGCTACTTATGATCAGGATATGATCAGGATTGAGGTCAGGGTCTGAAGAAGTGGTATTTGTCTTTTCTTGCGCACACACACTCTCACAGCACCAGAAAATGTTCTCTGAGTCAAACCTCTGAGACACTTACCACAAATTAAAAAATAGTCACACCAATCAACTGGTAAGGAAGGGTGACCTCAGGGATGGTGTTCTTATATGACTGTGTATGCTGATGTTGCCTTGCCTCATTTAACAGGAAAGACCCAATCAGGAGCCTGGGACAGGAGGTATTAAATAATCCGTGGACCCTGTGAAGGAGTAAAATAAATTAGACAGTGGCATGTGCTATCTGCTCAGTACAGTAAACCTCAATTGGTAAGAACTCAATCATCCAACAGCAAAAAAAGGCCAGAGAAAAATGGATGACGGCAGCCAGACTAACCATACTAACTCCAGCACAAAGCATATCTTAACTGATGCAGGGGAGGAACTGTAATACCTTAGTGAGACGTGTTGTGTTGCTTTGCCTGAGGAAAAGTTGGTTCAAAGTATACGGAAGATTAATCTGGTCAGAAGAGTCTTGTAAGCTTTGAGAAAGTTAGCCGGTGGGGTTTTCAGAAGTCATGAATCAACATTTTACCCTGCCTCAACTGAATCCCATTTGTGTTCCCTCTGTTATTTGTCAAATTCAATGATACTTTGACAGCAATCCCTGTTGTTGATGGGATTAAACAGCCATAACTTGTACCGAGAGAGCTGAGTGGTTAAGCCCATAAGTACTTAAAAAGAGCTGACAGAAGACGGTGTCAAGCAAAATGATAACTTAAATGCTATATCACCTGATTCTGCAGGCTGATATAAAGATGCCACGCTCTAGTATATCACTTCAGTGCCTTTACTCATGTCTTAATACATTTTAATGAATAATTCACCAATGATCAGTTAAAAGCTCTTAGTACTGACAACATATGGGCTGTCAGGGTTGTGAAAAGTGCATTTTGATGGTTTTTATCCTTTCTATTTGGTAAGGCAGTCATACATGTTTATACTTTACTCTCCAATAAGCCATGACGTCTGTAGTTGTACAGTTTCAATTAAATCAAAGCCTATGGTTGAATCTATTTATCAATAGTCATTATGTATTTATGATCTGTAATTACATCTCCATATTGTAGCAGTTTTCATTGTCAATGACAATGATTCAATTTGCCAGTTACCACGGGAATATGCATGCATGTAAACCAGTACTACTATTTTTAATTTGATCTCACTGATTTCAGCCTCACTGTTTACTGTTCACTCTCCTAATGCCTAATTCCTAATGCTGTATTTGACTTTTGTGGTAGTTCACTGTAGAGCTTTTACCAACAGACTCATCCAGACAAGACAAGACTTTATAATAAATCACCTCTGGCCAAATCAATCTCACAACTATAACACTTTTACACTGTTGTTTGTTGGTTTGGTTAAATCTTTGCACTGTTGTTTAGTTAGTTCATTTTAATATTATTCTATTTCATTGTATATATTGTGCATTTTTATATTTCATATTTTTTACTCTGTTATTTTTTATTACTCTACCTATTAATGCTGCTGTAGTGAAAAAATGTCCCCTTGTGGGATTAATAAAGTAACTATCTATCTATCTATCTAATGGGTCTAAATGATACATTATAGAGGTAGCCAAAAAGACAATGCATGTGTCATGCTGGAGAAGCAAAGCTTAAATATAACAAATCTGACTCTTTTTATTTAGATATTCAACATTAAAGCACCAACAACTCTGATACACTAAACCAACAAAAATTGGAAGCAAGAAAACAAAATATTCCACAGCTGTTACCTAAACCTCCTGTCATCTGTATATTTAATGAGTCACTGACACATCACAATACCAGTGATCATACTGTGCCATCACAAAGACAAGCTTGTAGAGTGACTGAAAATCCTCCTCACAATATGTAGGATGATACATTTTGTGCAAATCATTTAACAGTACCACACCTCTCTCAGTCTAAACTGTCATTTTGTGAAGGATGAGTTAATTCAGGATCACTTCTATGTCCTTTGTGTCTTTCATGTCCTTTCTTAAACTGCCTTTTGTCTAACAAGTCTGCCTGCTCCATTAGCCGCCTTTCAACTGTGAAAAAGCACATTTATCATCCTTTATATACTGTACAAAACCCACAACAGCGCTGACAAGGAATTAACTCCTCAATGCTGAGGTGCAATCTTCTTCCTGTTTGTACCCAACTCTGCATTGCAGATGATTAAAAAAAAAAAAAAAAGCAGTTTTATTTCTTGTTTGAGCCAAAGGGTTTGATGTGAGTCGACCATCTGCACCACTTTGATCCAGACTGAAATATCTTGACAACAAAGGACGGATTGCCATACAAGATGTGTGCAGACATTCATGTTCTCCAGACAATAAACTCAAATGAATTTCGTGATCCCCTGACTGATCCTCTTCTACCACTGAGAGGTTGACATTTTTGGTTTTGAGAGATGTATCTCAACAACTGCTGGATGAATTTCCATATAATTTATAAAATCATTTTCTTATTATTTATTTTAATATAGATATTAAAGGTCTACAGAGAATGAATCACAATTAATGTCCAACGGATATCTTTGAGGCCAGTACCCATACATCAGAGACAATGCTGTTTCTTTTTTTTTTTTTTGCATAAATAAGCATGCATGTTAAACATCCTTTACATTTGATATTTTATTAAAACAACAACAACTGTTTACTGAGTGAGACATTTGACAGTTAGAAAGTTAACTTGTCAGTGCTTTCTGGAGGCAAAATATAAAATACTGTTTCTAAATTGACTCAAAACATATTTTTTGTTGTTTATTGGCCGACATACCAATTTGTCTTTCAATCTCTAATTCAAATGATTTTGGTGATTCTTTAACTTTTTATCTTGCGCACCATGCAGGTCAAAATGTTCAATTATCCAGTACAATGAATATCAATATCTGCCTTCATGGTTCCCAGAGCATGTATAGAAAAGACTTTGCTGGTCCCCTAAAAAAACATCTGGAAAACGGTGCTGGGGAAAGGGACGCCTGGACCACCTGGCCCCAGAAAAGCTTAATTAAATGGCTCCTACATGATGTCACTTATTCCAACACACTCTCCTCACACCTTTTCTAATTACTTCTCTCTTGGACTTGTTTGTTGTGCCTCTCCCGTCCTTCCTTCTGCGCCTCTTTCAGCTGTTTTTCATCCCTCTCCAACAAACTTTTACTTATGAAGTCACTTCTGTCACACTCCACCTCACCCTGCCACCCCCGCCCCCCTGACCCCCCTCCTGTCCTACATCTGTCACATATAATCCTCCGGTGGGGATTTAGGTGATAGAAGGTTAAGTTGCTGACAGTGTGGAGCAGGTGTTTTCATAAGTGGCAGCGTGCTGTTACACTGCACTTTGGCCACACTTTCACTTTGTCAATGTCACCGCTCCTTCACGATGGGTTTCCTCTGCTTTCACGGTATGTGTTTGTACAGACTGACAAAGTTTATGATGTGGACGACATCTGAGAGACGGAGACAGATGAAGATGGATTAAGTGACTTAGTTAAAAAGGGTGTAATGATGTAATTTCCTGAGAGTGACACTGGGGAGGAGAGTGAAATGTTGGACAGGTGGAGGATTTAAATGAATGGTCTATTTATGCCATTCTTCATTTGTAACGTGGTTATTTACACTATATTTCAATTAAATTGATGACAATATTTAGGTGAGATGTGAAATAAATCACAGCACATAAAGATCCATGTAAAAGCCGGATTAATGAGTTACCTTCTTTTAATATATCTTAATGACAGTTTTTTTAATAATACCATTACATTTTCTGCAATGTATTCAGGCTTCACTTGAGTGAAATTACCTGTCACATGGTAATCGTGTAACAGAATATTGCATCTCAGGTTGTGATTGAACGCAATGTGAAAAGGAAGACTCTTTTGAAAAGAGAGTGCCGAACATGCATTTATATTCTTGTATTATTAAATGGAGGGCACAAAAAACATTTATCAACAAAAGACATAAAGGTAAGAAGATTAACTTGAGAAGTGCAAGGAGAGCTATTTATCCTCGGATGAATAGAGTGCCTGCCTTAATACTTTTCATGGTGGACTGGACTGCGGTATTACTTAACTTCATGGATTTCTGGTTTTGGAAATTGACTAGAGTCTACAGTCATTTAGAGGTCTTATGGCAATTTCGCTGCAAGTTATGGAAGAGAGGAGTTCAGCGAATGGATAAACACCTGTGACATTTGCTTTCAGGACTATGTTCTAGGTAACAATTTCCACACCACCT